CGGCACGCTCAGCTTTGGCATGACCCGTGTTACGGACGATCGATGCCTTGACAGGCGCTCTAGTAATGGGAGGTACACACTTAGCATTACATAAACAAGGGATTTTCGAAACTGCACCTAGATCAAGCATCTACTTTCAAGCTATGAGAACCACCATTTCTCCATCTTGCCTCACCAAGATAATACGGCACATCCAGCTTTGGCATGGCCCATGACACGTACGATCGAGGCTTTGACAAGTGCTTTACTTATAAAGCTTCTAGATCTATCTGGTTTCTGTGCAACGATTGTTCATAATCCGAATAGACCATCCATTCGATTATGTAATCCCAATCCCGGAGCTCCCACTCAATCAAGCATATTCTATATCTTGATTAAGTTATATGTATTCATTTACTATGGACCATCCATAAGAATAAATCATGTCTATTTGAGTTACAGTTGATCAGATTATGCAACGATTGCGTAATCGGACCTCGAAAACGGAAATTTTCGGAATCTGGACTACGGACCGTCCGTTCTGGAAGTAGAACGGACGTTCCAGGCTGGCAGAACGTTCGGTCTCGACTTCAGAAGTCAGAACGGACGTTCCACAATGTAGAACAGACGTTCTGTATGGACAGAACGGACGGTCCAGGACAGACCTTCCGTTCCGAACCACTCAGTCCGTCACCCTTGGACCGTTCGGTCTGGCTTACCCAGAACGGACGGTCTAGGGTAGGCCTCCGTGATCAGATCACGTTTCCCCGCGTTCTCATCCCCGATCAGACCCGAAACCGATCTGAATTCTTCTATACACCCAAAATTCGAACTCCTGCACTCTATGCAACATGAAACATGCAATCTACACTAGATTCAACAATCAAACATGCATAGATATCAAAGCAAACATGGATTCAAACAATTCAAATCCTAAAACGTGCGTGATTGAGTTCTACGAAATCAAAACAGAGCAACCAGGCTCTGATACCACTGTTGGGTTTTCCTGGGATCTCATGAGCGAATCCTATTCCTAAGAGATCGATTCTAGGGTTTGCGCAGCGGATATAAAACAAAAATTTATAGAACCCTAGAACCATGCTTCTAATGAATCGTAGAAACGTTAGAACGCTTACCTCAATCGATCCGGGGCCTGTATCAATCGAAGAACACGTCTGATCACGAAAGGCAGGAAGAATACCTCGCCCTCTACACGTATCCACACCACGGGATGGATTCCAACGGTTGGAACTTGTCTGCTAGGACTCGAATCTCTATCCAAAAACTCTCTCTTTTCTGCCAAAAGTTGGCTCTTTTCGTCTATCACGAGTTAGGGTTTTTAATCTCCTTCTTATAAGGTGATTTAACCCTAATTCGGTTTAATTTCGGAAAAACTGAAGCCCGGAACGGACGGTCCAGAAATGCACGTGGA